GGGGGGGCGCTCTCAGCACAGTGCCCCTGCCCGCAGGAGTGGGTCCGACGGCTCCCACTCAGAACAGCCCTGTCCAGGAGCTGGACGCTGGTTCCAGTGAGGGGCTAGGGGGCGGGGGGAGGGACTCACCATCCTGCTGTGTCAGCTCCGCAGCTCCTCCGCAGCGAGGGGGTGGCTGGGCTCCGCTATATACTGCTGCTTATCACCCAGGTAGCTAAATTAGGAGCAGAACAGGGGGAGAGCGCCAAACTTGGCAGTCCCGGCGCAGAGCTGGCCGGGGTGATAAGGGCTGGATGACAGCGACATTCCAGCAGGGTGGGCCCCGAGAGCTGGCTTGAGCTCTATGGAAGGGGTCCCCAGGCAGCCGCGGAGCAGCCGGGGTCCTTACGCTGGTCACATCCCGGGATTTCCCTTCCTTGGGAATTTCTGACCGCGCAAAATTTGGTTTGGCTCCGAATCGGAACAAAACGAAGTCGAACGTTCCGGTGAAACGCGGTTTTCGAAACCCGGCTCGTGGTTCGGGTCGACTGGCCCGTTCTGGGGTGGGGGTTGCAGCTGCTCGCTCAGACCCCCGCCTGACTGTTTAAACCAGGGGTCGGCAACCTTTCAGAAGTGAGGTGCCGAATCTTCATTTATTCACTCTAATTTAAGGTTTCGCGTGCCGGTAATATATTTTAATGTTTTTAGAAGGTCTCTTTCTATAAGTTTATAATATATAACTAAACTATTGTTGTATGTAAAGTAAATAAGGTTTTTAAAATGTTTAAGAAGCTTCATTTAAAATTAAATTAAAATGCAGAGCCCCCGGACCGGTGGCCAGGACCCAGGCAGCGTGAGTGCCACTGAAAATCAGCTCGCGTGCCGCCTTCGGCACGTGTGCCATAGGTTGCCTACCCTGGGTTTAAACTGTGGCTTCTGTTACTGACACCGGCCCAACCGATACAATCCAGCTGGAAACGAAAAGGAACAGGCCGATGCGATCGGGTCGACACGGAACCTTCTCAAAATGCTTTGCTCACATTGAGTAAACAGCCGGGCCAGGGAGGCAGGGCGGCCTAGTGGCTACAGCACAGCGCCGGGAGGTGAGGTCGAACCCCGGCTTCGAGCTAGTCGTGTGCAGCCACATTTCGAAACGCTGGTGGCCCAGGTTCTGGGTTCCCCGCCTGGTGCGCCCAAGTATGGAGGCCACCCAGAGTTGTGGAGGCCAAGTATGGAGGCCACCCCTTATAAAAACGTTGCCCCAAGCCAGGCTGCTGGAAGGTCTGTGCGGAAAGCTCTCGGGAAACTGAGGCAGGAAGGAAGTGGGCTGAAAGTCAGCAGGGATGGTTCTGATTTACAGGCCCCCTCCCATGGAGACCCAGCCTGGAGAGAGGCTCCTGCCTCATGCCCAGCCTCCAGCTCCTGCTGTGAAGGTTGCTGAGGAAAGGAATGCTTTGGCCTCCCTCAGCCCTCAGCACCGAGGGCATGCTCCGCTGGGGTCACCTGTTGCAGCACTGGCACGCAGGCTTCCCTACCATGGCCTTCCCCAGTGAGCCGGAGAGAGCCAGCCATTGCGTGGGCTTTGGGCTTGGAGCCAGCGAGGTTCATCTGGGCTTATGGCATCTCGGTTGCAGCAGCACCGGTCTCTGTTAGCCAATATTATTAAGCAAGCCAGAGCGCTTGTGCTAAACTACGACCCCAGAACTCCCAGCGTACTTTGGTCCTTAGGCTAAAGCTCCGTCCGTGTCTCCTCTACTCAGGTCCAGTTTCGGTGCGGCAACGTCTGAGCAGTGCCCCTGTAATCTCTGCTCCTCGGGCGGTCCCTTGATTTGCCAGAAGCAAGAAGTAGGTTCTGTTCAGGTTTGCCGGACAGGAGCTGTGGGCCAGGAAACCAGTCTGGGCCAATGTTATTTGCGCTTGGTGGTTTCTCGTCGTTTGGTTCTGGTTAGCCCAGATGACTCTGTAGCCTGAAAAAATAACTCTGAAGGCAGCTCAGGAAAAGGGAGTGTGGGGCATTCCTTTTCTCCCTGTCCTAAACAAGTGGTGTATAAACCTGAGGCAAATTAAGCTCACACGTTAAAGCAGACACAACCTGAAAACTGCTGCAAGAACAGCTTCCCAGCACTGGGGAAACAATGAACCCTTTCCCGTTGGGGCTGATTTCTCTATGGGCAATCAAACCCATCAAGCGAAGTCATCTGCTGTCTTATCAATGAAAGAGCTGACCCAATTGGCTCTCAACCCCCCAGCACTGCAACCTGCTCCCCCATCCAGCAGACTCTCCTATGACCCGGCAGGCCCTGCACCGTGATATTGTCCCAACCTCGGTTCCGGGGCTAATGCATTAAAGGCCAGCGAGGTCTCTGATCCCGCCAGCCCCAGTCAAAACTCCAGCTGGGAGCAAACGTGTTCCCGGCTCCACATCCAGTCCCCGCTCGTGTCCAGGCCTGGGGGAGGGTTTGGATGACGGATATTAACCATTAGCTAGAGGGCTTATTATCCCACGGTTATGCTAATGGGGAAGCCTGGCCCTACAGCCAGGACTCGGGGTCAGATCCAGCGCTGAGGAGCCTCAGCTCAGACGTGGGGGGAGCAGAGCTGAATTCTGGGCTCTGGCTCCCAGCATGACATCAGAAGAGCTGGGGTGCAGAGTGCTCCAGCCGCACCCCCTCCTACGCCAGCACAGCCACCCTGGCTGTGCCCCCCGGGGGGCTCTGTGCAGCACAGTGTCTACTGCAGCCCCCCACGCTGGGGGGTTCCCAGGGGCCAGCTCCAGTGAAGTAGAGGATACAGGCCTGTGCTTTGCTCTTAGAGACTAGAGACGGCTCCACGCTGGCCATGCAGGATTCCTGGCCAGCTTTTCCCTGGGGAGCTGCTGCTGCGGGGAAGTTTATCCCTTGTGCACACAGTGCTGGGGATGTTCGGCCTGAGACCCTGCCTGAGATTAGCCTCAACTCTCTCTGTCAAGCCTCATGGCATCTTCACTCCCCCCCTAGAAAAACCACCCAAGCCCGAGCTAACATCACCTCTGAAGTACATCCCCTCACCCGGTATCCACTGCCCACCCCAACTCCCCTGGGCCAGAACCCCTTTGGCCACGCAGCTCTGAAGTGACTGAGCCACTGCTGGCTGGTGGTACTACAGCTGGATGAAGAAAGCGGTCGTCTTCTCTCCTTACAACTGAGGAACCAGCATCTCCCTCCCCTGGCCCGTGTGCTGAGTTGATGGGTCAGAACCAGGCATCGGCCCCTGGCTCAGTTGCACCAAACTCTGGCTTGGCTTCCGAGCCCTGCTGGGCAAAGGGAAATGCTCTAACTGACCATACCTGCACCGGGCTGCAGCAGGAGGGGCAAGAGGTCCTGGGGCAACTGGAGAGCAGCTGAGAAGGGCCGGTAGGGGAGTCGGCTGGGATTTTACCCACTTCCCCCCGTCCCAGCACATGCAGGAAGTGGGGAGACAGGAGCCCTCCACATCTCATGCCAAGAGCTGAGCCACTAAGATCCAGATAAAGGTCATCCCAGAAAGGCCCACAACCTCCCGGTCCCTGTCCGTGACATCCATCCCCAAGCACTGGGAAGCTGGGGGAGCAAGGGGGCCAGGATGCCTGGCCGCTTCTCCAAAGGGTTGAAAGCTTTTCCTGTTCAACTCAATTTCCCAAAGCTGCGGCTCCCAGATTCTGACAGACCCCCCGACCCTCCCCACCATCACTTTTTTCAGCCCACTGGAGACTTCTCCAAAGTTGGAGAAGTACTGAAACGTTGGAGAGCGGGAAACACCAAACAAAACACTCCACACTCAAATTCCAGTCATGACAGCTTTTTTTGGATGCAATTACAAGTTTGGTTGATAAAGGTACTAATGTTGAGGTAACATACTTAGACTACTACGGTAAGGTATCTGACTGGGTACCGCACGACATTTTGATTACAAAACTAGAACACTGTAAAATTAATGTGGCACAAAGGACATGGATAAAAAGCCGGCTAATGGAGAGGTCTCGAAACGTACTTGTAAATGGGGAATCAGCATCAAACGGGTGTGTTTCTAGTGGGGTCCCACAAGGTTCGGTTCTTGGCCCTACGCTATTGAACATTTTTATTAATGGCCTGGAAGAAAACAAAATCATCGCTGATGAAGTTTGCAGCGGACACGAAAATTGGGAACATGGTAAATAACGAAGAGGACAAGTCACTGATACAGAGCGATCTGGATCACTTGGAAAGCTGGGCGCAAGCAAACAATATGCATTGTCATACGGCTAAAGGTAAATGTGTGCATCTAGGAACAAAGACTGTAGGCCATATTTACAGGATAGGTGACTGTATCCTGGGAAGCAGAGACCCTGAAAAAGATTTGGGGAGCGTGATGGATAATCAGCAGAACGTGAGTGCCCCATGCGATGCTGTGGCCAAAAGAGCTAATACGATCCTGGGCTGCGTAAACGGGAATCTCGGATCAGAGCCGAGCGGTTATTTCAACTCTGTGTTTGGCGCTGGTGCGATCGCTGCTGGAATCCGGTGTCCAGTTCTGGTGCCCACAATTCAAAAAAGAGGTTGATAAATTGGAGAGGGGCCAGAAAAGAGCCACAAGAATGATTTAAGGATTAGAAAACCTGCCTTATAGCAAGAGACTCAAGGTGCTCCGTCTATTTAGCTTAACAAAGGGACGGTGAAGGGGGGACTTAATCCCAGTCTGTCAGTACCGACATGGGGAACAAAGATTTAATACTGGGCTCTTCAGTCTCGCAGAAGAAGGTCTAACACGATCCAAATGGCTGAAAGTCGAAGATAGACAAATTCAGACTGGAAATAAGGTGTAAACTTTTGACACTTGAGGGTAATTCACCACTGGAACAATTTACCAAGGGTCGCGTAGATTCTCCATAATTAAATTTTCAAATGAAGATGCTAGATTGCTAACAGATCTGCTCTAGGAATGACTGTGGGGCAGGTCTTTGGCCTGTGCGAAACAGGAGGTCAGATCAGAGGATCACAATGGTCCCTTCCGGCCTTCGACGCTAAAAGGAACCACAAACATCCAGATTTCTGAAAACATCGCGCTTTGCGAAAACCAAACGGCAAGAAACAAATCCCGAATCAGAGTTAGATTCCCTTGCAAACTTTTTCTGCCAACAATTCCAAAGGAAACATTGTTTGTTCCAAACTTTTGGCAGGAAAATTTGGAAATGAAAGCTGGATTCGAATCAGGATTTGGGGGCTTTTTTGACCCTCTCTAGTGGGGAGAATAAAGGACACTCCCGTTCCCCGATCCCAAAATATCATCCTCTTGTTGCTGCCAGGAACAACCAGGCTGTGTAGGAAATACTGATGGCCAGGCAGCTCTGACAGCTTGGGGATGTGACGCAGACAGTGCCAGGAGTACACTGACACAGGGGGAAAGCAAGGGGCTGGGACCTGCCAGGACAGTCCTCTCTAGGGCCAGGAGCTTCAGAAGAGCCAGAGATCAGAGGGCAACTGCTGGCTTCTTCCAGACCTGGCTTGTGTCCTACAGCTGGCTCCTACATGACACGGTCTGGCATTAGGAAGCATAGCTCTGTGTATATTACCTACCACAAATGGCACTTGCAATACAATGCCCCTAGGAGCCCCGCAGAGGGGTAGATCGTGCTATTTACAAAGGCTGTCTGGATGCTACATGCATCTTCTCTGTTCTTACGTTGTGTTTTGATTGCGTGAGGGGGACTTTAACTCAGGGATACGTGCCCCCCCTCCACACTTCCATGTCTGATGTGGGCAGGGTGCCATCACTAGGGATGGGTGGGGAATTATTTTAACATCAAACATAGGATAAAGTCTAATACGCTGTTGGGGTGAATTTCATCGCTACTAAACAGTCACGCCCAGAGCATCAGAATGATTTTATTCTTATGTACAGAAAAAAAAAGAGTGGAAGCCCTGTATGTCCAGTTGAGGCATCCTGCAGATGGATTGGGTATACAAGGACGGTACGTGCACCCGTGTGTGGGGGTATCAAAAGATGCGTGAGTCTGTAGGGCCTGGTGCGCACATGCATGATGCTTATCTGACAAGCCGCAGTGCGACGCACATCCCGTGGGACGGGGAGTGGGTGAAGGCGTGCATGCGGTGGGCTTTGTGCACGGGGGTGTGCACGCTGCATGGGAACACG